TAGTATACATGGAGCCCCTGGGCCCCTCACAATAGGATGTTTCTGCCAGCCCTTACCAGTGAGGCTTATCTCAGCCTCCAACACAGTCAATTCTTGAGAGCCCCCGGTCACTCCAGAAATATGGATTGATTCTGTCCCTTCATGACTCGAGGGCATCAGAGTGCACTGTGCACCAGTGTCCACCAGGGCCTTATATTTCAGTGGTTCTGATGTGCCAGGCCATCGAATCCACACAGTCCAATATACTCTATTATCCCTTTCCCCCCCCCGACTGAGGGCAGGGCCCCTCTATTCATTACCTGTGGTAACTGGAGCAACTACACTGATGGTTGATCTGCCTTGTAATTCTTTCACCCGGGCTCGTAGTACAGAAGTAGGTTCACGGTGCCACTTCCTACTGAACATGAGCCAGCAGTGCGCTCTGGCAGCTCGAAAGGCAAATGGGATCCTGGGCTCCATCAGGAGAGGGGTGGTCAGCAGGGACAGGGAGGTGATTGTCCCTCTCTACTCGGCTCTTGTGAGGCCCCATCTGGAGTACTGTGTCCAGGTGTGGAGCCCTCAGTACAAGAAAGACAGTGAGATTTTGGAAAGGGTCCAGAGGAGGGCAACTAAGATGATCAGGGGGCTGGAGCACCTCCCCTATGAGGACAGGCTGAGGGAGTTGGGCTTGTTCAGCCTGGAGAAGAGAAGGCTGCGGGGTGACCTCATTGCAGCCTATCAATACCTGCAGGGAACCTACACCCAGGAGGGGAGTAAACTCTTCAAAAGGGCTGACAACAGCAGGACTAGGGGAAATGGATCGAAGTTGAAGGAGGGAAGATTTAGGTTGGATGTTAGGGGGAAGTTCTATACAAGGAGAGTGGTTAGGCCCTGGAACGGGCTGCCCAGGGAGGTTGTGGATGCCCCGTCCTTGGATGTGTTTAAGGCCAGGTTGGACAGGGTCCTGGGCAACCTGATCTGAATGTGTGTGTTTGGTGGCCCTGCTAGGCAGGGGGGTTGGAACTACATGATCCTTGAGGTCCCTTCCAACCCGGGTGATTCTGTGATTCTGTGTGATTCTGTCTTTTCCATGGTCACATACGTAATACCATAAGACAATTCGTGGTGTATTATTCTTTACTTGAGCCGGAGAGCATCTGCCTCTAACAGCTGAGATTTTTCATGGTGCACGTGAGAAGGAAGGTTCATCGTCTTTAGTTAGGTGGGCTCGCAAAAATTTCATCGTCTCCTTCACCTCCTTCACATCCTTCGCTAGACTCGTGTGATTATCCTGATCTTCATCAAGCGTTTCTGATACTGCTACAGGTTTGTCACGGTTAATCAGTTGAGACACTTGCTCCGTCATTTTTGATATAGCAGCCACGGCAGCATGAATTGGGGACAGCAATTGTTCATAGTTTTGGAGCGTAACAATTAATTCATAAACTAAGGGCATTCTCTGTTGTTCCTGGTATCTGTCACACGCTGACATTAGTGTAGAGGCATATTTCTCTGGCGCTGTTGTCACAATTTTCTGCCATATCTCAGGCGTTGTCCTCACTTTTTCAGGGTCGCGGTTTTGGTGTGGTTGGTTAGGAACAAAGTCAGGGTCATACAACATTTCCACCACACCTATTTCCCTCAAATACTGGATACCCTATTGTATAATCAAGATGTTATAATTACAATATAATCAAGAGAATTAGGCAAAGTAAACAACGATCACAAAAGAGAATTAGTGGAAAAGCTTACCCTTCAGCTGAGCTCACCAGAAAACACCAAGACAGGTGATCTCCAGAAGAGATCCTGCCCCTCTGGTAGCCAGCTCTTAAATAAGTCTAGGAGGGGTGCAGCCTGGCTTCACCCCTTCCGGCAGCACAGTTGAATTGCCTTCACCTGTGCTCCTCTGGCTGACTCATGGCTCACCTCAGGTGATCAATCAGAGGTTCAGGCCGTGACTCAGCAGTTCCCATACACCTATTCAACTGTATCCCATTTCTTCATCGCAATCTTCAAGCCTTTTTTGAAGGGATACTTTTCCTTCACGGCTGTTAACACTCGTTCACAGAGGGAGGCAGCCTCATCCGAACATCGACTAATTCCTCTATCAATAGCTGGATCTCTGGCAATGGCGCCTAGTTGGCGAGCTTCATTACCATCCAGAGACAAGCTATGGGCCCCACTGTCCCAACAGTGAACCAACCAGGAAACAAGAGTTTCATTCGGGCACCGTGTAAACTCCTTTCTTGAACCTTGGATTTCAGTCATCTTTAGAGGCCGGCGAGTAGTAATAGAGACTTCCTCTTCATCACTCTCTTCTGCACGTCTCTTAGTTTTCCCTTTTGCCTTTCGCGATGGTGGTGGTTCTGAGGAGGGCCCCTCGCCTGGATTCTTCCTCCACCTCCTCCTCCTCCTCTTCTCTTATTCGTTCAAGACGCGAAGACACTCGTTTACGTTTCTTGCCCTCCACAGGAGCAACTGGTATTGTTACTGGTGTCTCCTGTGATTGATTAGATTTGACTTGGGGGTTTTCCCCTTTGGCTTGAACCTCAGCTCGGAAACTCTCTCTCTCCAGAATGGTATTATATAGGGCACGGTAAGCACAAGCCAAACCCCAAATAAGTTGTACCTCCTTAGATTTATGTAAGCCACATTGTCCCTGACTCAAATACTGGCTTAGTTTCTCAGGATCCCACAGGTGTTCAAGAGTAAAATCCCATGACACCGTGGGTCCCCATGCTTCTAAAACCTTTCCTAAACCTCTCCATATTCCCTGCCAGTCATCATTCTCTGGTTTTGGAGGAGACTCCTTCCCCTTATTACGAATGCATAGGAATACATTCAGGAAAAGTGATGACATGCACACCAACATGACTATTAATTCAGGATTCAAAAAATGTTTGACAAACCGAGAAGAAAACCTGGAGACTGGTCTGAACGTGGTGTTGTTTGTGAAATTAGCCATTCCATTTGGGATGTAGATGTCAAAGTTCAAATCATACCACATTGCAAATAGGTAAAACATAGGTGTCTCCATCAGTGCCCTTAGATAGTTATATATGAATGCAATTCCAAAACACACAAGTGTGAGATGGATTATTGGCCAGTAGGTTGTGAGTAACACCATTGCTTTTAATCCTTTACCCAGCACCCCCAGGATAAGGAGTGGGTTCATCCGTGGAGCCTGCTAAAAAGGGGTTATTGAATTGAAGCTAACAAGAGGGGGGCAAAAAAAAAGGAAAAAAGGCACTACTCAGACTAAGCAGTGCTCAAAGTTTACAAATATCCCAGAGTACTGGCAGTACGCCTAATCTTTCAAGGTCAGGTTTTCCAGCACAGAAACCTGAACTACTGATAATGCTCCTTAACGAAGCTCTCTAAGAGCAGAGAAAAAAAGAGATTCGTTCTAAAAGCTAAAAAGTATCGTGCCCCACGTTGGGCGCCAAAAATCTGTCACAGAGTTAACTAGATCAATCTATGTCCGTGACAGGGGTGACAGGCCTCTGCCCTCCCCCCCACCCCAGTCCCACAAAAATGGGAAGGAAGGAAGGGAGGAAAAGAACAGCGGCAACAATCTGTGGAGGAAAACTTATTTTACTATAATATTGGAATACAAAATAACACAATATATACAATTTAATTGAAATTGAGATTAATAAATCAGACAAGATAAGAGAGAGACTTCCCGGGACCAATTCAAACCTGAAAAGCTTGGAACGGCTAGGAAAGCACCCTCCAGCACCCACTGCAAGGCAGCAAGAGAGCGCCCCCCCCCACCCGGAAGGGCCAGATCCCGTGACTGCTGTAATGTACAGGGATAGGTACCTGGAATTGGGGCAGTGACACTTTAATAGCCCGTACACTACATGATGTTTTGATGTGGAATACTGAAACCCAAAAACAAAAAAAAACATAGAACCATGACAGGCATGTAGTGACAGGATGAGGGAAAATGGTTTTAAACTGCAAGAGGGTAAATTTGGACTAGGTATTAGGAAGAAATTCTTTACTGTGAGGGTGGTTAGACACTGGAACAGGTTGCCTGCTGAGGTTGTGAATGCCCCCTCTCTGGAAGCATTTGAGGCCAGGCTGGACAGGGCTTTGAGCAACGTGGTCTAGAGGGAGGTGTCCCTACCTGTACTAGGAAGATTGGGACTAGATAATCTTAAAGGTCCCTTCCAATCCAAACCATTCTTTGCTTCTATGATACTTTGTCCTCCTGCATAGCCTCTACATGTTTTACCTTAGCATTTATCACGGAGTTGACTAGATCAATCTATGTCCGTGACAGCATTCTATCCCCTTGAAGATGTACAGGATTATCTGAAAATAAGAGTTTTTTTCTCTTCCCCCCCCCGCCCCAATATCTAATTTCCACCTAATTTGTGTTTCTGTAGAGAACACTTATCCCAGTTTCTTCAACATTTGTTTCTCCTGTGCTTACTGGTCTTGAGTGAAAACTGGTTATAATAACCTTCAGTGATATATAATCACTGTTGAGCCCATAATTGTGCCTCCTTTGCACCAAATTACCTGCAATATATATTTCAAGACAAGTTTCTCAATGTCTTAGCAAAATGGTTAGTCTTTAGGCAGCTAGATTGCTACTTTTCTTTGGAATTTGAGGTGTTAGATGGGCAAAGTGAATGCTGAATTATTACATGGATGGCTATTAATAGTCACAGTTGAGAACTGAAGAAATCTCAGTGTTTTCTCATGAAAGGAAAGAATGACAATTACTTTGATTTGTTCCAGTCACTTTTGTTTAAAAGGACAAGTGCCCTTAACATTCTTATTTTAATTTTTTTTGCTAGTGTCTATGGCATTTTTTTGTCATGGTTTTCATGTAATTGAAGGAAATTACTTGTGAGAATAATGCTATAACAGAATTTTATAAAATGGTTTTAGTGTTCACTTGTTTTATGGAATATTTATATGCTAATGTTTAACTTGTAAATGGATGATTTTGAGTTATTAAATTGAATTTTAATACTTAAAATGAAAATGGATTTCATTTCTAGCTTCTCGAAAAAGATATAAAAAAGATAGAGATGAAGCTTGGGAGTATGAAGAACATGACAGAAGAAGTTCTGGTGACCACAGGAGAAGTGGTCATTATCATGAAGGAAGAAGGACTTCTGGTAGTGGCCGTTACCGTAATCGAAGTCCTGATGACTCTGATATGGATGATTATTCTCCTCCTCCTAGCCTCAGTGAGGGTAACTGATCATTATAAGTATTTCACTTTCTTTCGTAATGCTAAAGGATTTTTAAAGGTTAAGTTGAACACTTCAAAATAAACAGCTTTTCATGCAGTATTTAAAACAAGCATAAAAAAAGTAAATAAGAATTTATTTCCCTTTGAAAAATCATTTGTTTCATTTATTCTCTTAATTAGTGGCTCGAAAAATGAAGAAAAAAGAAAAACAAAAGAAAAGAAAAGCTTATGAACCTAAACTAACACCTGAAGGTAATTTTAGAAGACTTATTTTTTTCACTTTGTATATCCTGTATTCTATATAAAATAATTATATATACTTTTTTTCTTTTTCTCCCCCACCAGAAATGTTGGATTCTTCAACTTTTAAAAGGTTTTCTGCTTCAATAGAGAATATTCTGGAAAATCTGGAAGACTTGGACTTCACAGCTTTCGGTAATATTTCAGAAATTTTCAAAATGCTTCCCCCAATTACAAATACAGGAAACGCACAAAAAATTGCTTCTCAGTATTTTCAGGCTTCTTTCTTTCTGACTGAATTGCCTATGATACTTGCTAGGGTATGTTGTGTTTATATTGCATCTACCTCGAGTAGTGTGAGCCTATACCTTTACAGTCTCACTTGATGCTAGAGAAGGATGACTTATCTTCCTCCTCTCTGCAGAATCTGAACAGGTCATAAGTCAGAAATAATAGTGTACTGGGGTGTGTCTGCTGCATGCAGTCTCTGACTCTGATTATTAAATTCAAGGAGCAGAGTTTTTATGCTCTTATGATCGAGACACTTAATTTGTGTACTCCTTATTCCCAGCAGTGTGCCCTTGTGGCCAAGAAGGCCAATGGCATTCTGGGATGCATTAAAAAGAGCGTGGCCAGCAGGTCGAGGGAGGTGATCCTCCCCCTCTACTCTGCCCTGGTAAGGCCTCATCTGGAGTACTGCGTCCAGTTCTGGGCTCCCCAGTACAAAAAAGACAGGGATCTCTTGGAAAGAGTCCAGCGGAGGGCCACGAAGATGGTGAAGGGACTGGAGCATCTCCCCTATGAAGAAAGGCTGAGTGAACTGGGTCTGTTCAGCCTTGAGAAAAGAAGACTGAGAGGGGAGCTGATCCAGGTCTATAAATATCTAAGGTGTAGGGGGCAGAATGGTGAAGCCAGACTCTTTTCAGTGGTGAGTGGAGACAGGACAAGGGGAAACAGCCGGAAACTGCAGCATAGGAAGTTCCGCACAAATGTGCGCAAGAACTTCTTTACAGTGAGGTGACGGAGCACTGGAACAGGCTGCCCAGGGAGGTGGTGGAGTCTCCTTCTCTGGAGATGTTCAAGACCTGCCTGGACGCCTACCTGTGCGACCTGCTGTAGGGAACCTGCTTTGGCAGGGGGGTTGGACACGATGATCTCTGGAGGTCCCTTCCAACCCCTACAATTCTGTGATTCTGTGAAATTGCTTTCCTTACGCCTAGTTTGCAGATGTAATTTTGAAGGTACTCCATGGAGGACCACATCCCTGTATGTAGAGGTACATCAGATTTATTCAGCCATACCATACGGCAGGCTGCCATTAACCATTCTATTATAGAATGGTTTTCATCAAGATATTGATCACCCACATATAACCTCAGCCAGAGAGCAGGATGGACAGTCATGGTGGCCAACTTGGCTATTTCTGGGCCATTCACCAAGACACTTTCTGCCCCAGAATCCCACAGTCTTAATAACCAAGCCTGCACTCTTTCTCTAGGCTTGTGCTGAAATTGCTGTACTAAATCCATCAATTCTGTTGCCATGTATGGCCGGGCCGTTACATGTAAATGAGTCTGGGCAGGGGGCCACTGTGATTCTGTGTGATTCTGTGATTCCTTTCACCACCAAATCAGCCAGACTAGCATTTGTCGAAGTAATTCAGGTTGACTACGTTCCTGAGCTCTGCATCCCTAAACCTCTAGGTGGGGACCGGAGCGACAAATCCCCTCCCGCTGTGAGGACAGAGCAGGTCCGAGACCGCCTCATGAGACTGAATGTGTATAAGTCTATGGGGCCGGATGGCGTGCATCCCAGGGTTCTGAAGGAGCTGGCTGAGGTGGTTACCGAGCCACTCTCCATCATTTTTGAAAAGTCGTGGCTGTCAGGTGAGGTCCCAGATGACTGGAGGAAGGGTCACATCACTCCCATTTACCAGAAAGGGAGCAAGGAGGACCACGGGAACTACAGGCCGATGAGTCTCACCTCTGTGCCTCGAAAGATCATGGAACAGATCATCCTGGATGACATGCTCGACCACATGAGGGATGGGCATGTCATCCATGACAGTCAGCACAGCTTCATCAGAGGAAGGTCAAGCTTGACCAATCTGGTGGCCTTCTATGATGGAGTGATGGCATTGGTGGATAAGGGAAAGGCGACCAATGTCATTTACCTGGACTTGAGCAAGGCCTTTGACATGGTCCCCCACCACATCCTTATCTCCAAATTGGAGGGATGTGGATTTGATGGGTGGACCACCCGATGGATAAGAAACTGGTTGAAAGGCTGCAGACAGAGGGTAGTCATCAATGGCTCTGTGTCCAGGTGGAGGCTGGTAATGAGCGGCATCTCCCAGGGGTCTGCCTTGGGACCGGTGCTCTTCAACATCTTTATCAATGACATCGATGTAGGAATCAAGTGCACTCTCAGCAAGTTCGCTGATGACACCAAGCTGAGCAGTGTGGTCGACACAGTTGAAGGAAGGGATGCCATTCAGAGGGACCTCGAGAGGCTAGAAAGGTGGGCCCGGGTGAACCTGATGAGGTTCAACACGGGAAAGTGCAAAGTTTTGCACTTGGGCCGGAGGAATCCCAGGCATATATACAGACTGGAAGGAGCAGTCCTTGAGAGCAGCCCTGTGGAGAAGGACCTGGGGGTCTTGATAGATGAAAATACTGTGTCCAGTTTTGGGCCCCTCACTGCAAGAAAGATATTGAGGCCCTGGAACGTGTTCAAAGGAGGGCAACAAAGCTGGTGAGGGGTCTGGAACACAGGCCATATGAGGAGAGGCTGGGGGAGCTGGGAATGTTCAGCCTGGAGAAGAGGAGGCTCAGGGGGGGCCTCATTGCTCTCTATAACTTCCTGAAGGGAGGCTGTAGTGAGCTGGGGGTCGGCCTCTTCTCTCGTGTCATTAGTGATAGGACCAGAGGGAATGGCTTCAAGCTACGGCAGGGGAGATTCAGGCTGGACATGAGGAAGTATTACTTTTCAGAAAGGGTGGTCAGGCACTGGAATGGACTGCCCAGGGAGGTGGAGGAGTCCCCGACCCTGGGGGTGTTCAAGGAACGTTTGGATTTTGTGTTGAGGGACATGGTTTAGTGGGAGCTATTGGGAATAGGCGAACGGTTGGACTGGATGATCTCTTAAGTCTTTTCCAACCTTGGTGATTCTATGATTCTATGAAAAACTTAATATGAGCCAACAGTGTGCTCTTGCAGCTCGGAGGGCAAACGGTATCCTGGGGTCCATCAAAAGAGGGGTGGCCAGCAGGGACAGGGAGGTGATTGTCCCCCTCTACTCTGCTCTTGTGAGGCCCCATCTGGAATACTGTGTCCAAGTGTGGAGCCCGCAGTACAAAAAAAACAGGGAGCTGTTGGAGAGGGTCCAGAGGAGAGCCACTAGGATGATCAGGGGACTGGAGCACCTCCCCTATGAGGACAGGCTGAGGGAGCTGGGCTTGTTCAGCCTGGAGAAAAGAAGGCTGCAGGGTGACCTCATTGCAGCCTTCAGTACCTAAAGGGAGCCTACAGAGGGGTGGGGAATCAATTCTTCGAAAGGGCTGATATGCATAGGATGAGGGGAAATGATTTTAAGCTGAGGGAGGGCAGATTTAGGTCAGACATCAGGGGGAAATTTTTCACCCAGAGAGTGGTGAGGTACTGGAACAGGCTGCCCAGAGAGGTTGTGGATGCCTTGTCCTTGGAGGTGTTCAAGGCCAGGTTGAATGGGGCCCTGGTTTAGCATTAGGGAGGTTGTAGTGAGCTGGGGGTCGGCCTCTTCTCTCGTGTCATTAGTGATAGGACCAGGGGGAATGGCTTCAAGCTACGGCAGGGGAGATTCAGGCTGGACATGAGGAAGTATTACTTTTCAGAAAGGGTGGTCAGGCACTGGAACGGATGCCCAGGGAGGTGGTGGAGTCACCGACCCTGGGGGTGTTCAAGGAAAGACTGGATGTTGTGTTGAGGGACATGGTTTAGTAGGAGCTATTGGGAATAGGTGAACGGTTGGACTGGGTGATCTTTTAGGTCTTTTCCAACCTTGGTGATTCTATGATTCTATGATTAAACGTGAAGGTTGGTGGCCCTGCATGTGGCAGGGGGGTAGGAGATTCATGACCCTTGAGGTCCCTTCCAACCCTGGCCATTCTGTGACCAAGATGACTTTCAATTGAAACAGTTAACAGAACATTTGTATCTTTTTTCTTACCATCTTGGTCATGGTATTAGAACCTAGAACCAGGGAAGGAACATAGTAAACAAAGCACTATTGTTTTTAAATCATGGCTACACTCTTGAATTTAAAAGTGAAACACTGTAATCATTGGTTCTTTCTGCGTCTAGTAATGCCATGGGTTTTTAGTTTTTGTTGGTTTTTTTTGTGTGTGATTAGAACATAGTTTATTCTAGGACATCACATGTGTTTTTCATCTATTATTCTGCCCCAGATTTGAACTTGAAAATTAGAACTACAGTAAGTTAAGATTTGTTTTACTGAAATAAGAGTGGTATTGCAGAAGCTAGAACAAATAGGTTTTCTAACTTAAAAATTGTCATAGTTCAGCCTGGCTTGGCTTAGTTCTATAACAAAAGGGGAAAAAGAAGGGACCCGTGGACTCGGGCCCAGGGAAAAAGGGGGAGGGAGGGGGAAAAAGATAGGGAGATGGGCCTAGATGAGCTCATTGCTGTTTTCCTAAGGGGAAAAAAAAAAAAACACAAACCTTAGTTTACTAAATATAATAGCAAAATATAAGATAACACAATATGATTGGAACTGAAGCTAATAAATCAAATAAAATGAGAGAGTTTCTGAAACCAAAGTCCTTACTCTAATGTTGTAGGCAAGAATACCAGGGAGCACAGAGAGCAAAGAAGCACTCATGACTCCTAGTCAGTTTTTATCTTTCCCTCCAAAAGGAAAACAAAAATGAAGTCTTCTAGGAGTTGTAGTTTATTCTTCTCTTGAGACCAAGAGACCAGGAATATCAACAATACATGCACTGCAGCACTAACTCATCAACTCCTAGTACACTACATGATGTTATGATGTGGAATAATGATAACAAAAATCATAGGACCATGACAAAACTATTACCAGTTCATGACTTTCACACATGGAGACCTGATGTTAGACTGTGATATTTCAGAGCATGTGATCAGTCTTTTTGAGCAAGTATAATTGTTTTTAACACCCAGAAATCATTATCAGTCTTTATTACATGCTCGGAAAAATCAGTTTTTTTGACAGGTTTAATTGTAATTACTTTTTCATGTTGGCTATAAACACTTGTTTCTTTGAGTTCTTATTAGAAATATGATTGTGGATTTTTTTTTTTTTTTTATTGTTTAAGGTGATAATGATGAGATTCCACAAGAATTGCTACTGGGAAAACATCAACTAAGTGAGTTGGGTAGTGAATCTGCAAAAATCAAGGCAATGGGCATTATGGACAAGGTACATCTTCATAATCTTCTTTTTGAACACTTAATTTCATTACACACACAGAAAATATGTTTCCCGTAATAATATTCCACCCTCTTCAGTTGTGCACGTGACATACTGTGAACAGCTATCCTTTTGTTGAACTTAATTCAAGTGCTTTAAGAGTTACTGCAACTTAACTGTTACTGTTTCTGATGCTGAGATACTTTTGAATAGCTTTCCCATGGCAGCAGACTGAGCAGTATGTACCAATATGTAACACACATGCTTGAGCAGTAAAATCTAAAATAATCTACTTTCAGAAAAACACATGAATCTATAGTCTTTGCTCCTTGCAGCTAGTGTTGAGCAACCACAGTAAAACACAACTTGACAAAATAAAAAAAATGCACTCTAATATAAATTGTTAGTACATTGTAAGTAAATCAAGTCTGTTCAGTATTGTATTGAACTGTTTATTTTGCTTCTCCCTCCCAAAAACCCTTTCGGACTTAAAAATAATAACAGTGTCTCAGGTGAAAAATCTCATTTTTTGTAGACTGTGTCATGATTTCTTTGCCATAGCCTACTTGATTTCAGTTAAAGAATATTTTCCACACTAGTGCAAACTATTGGTATCGTACCTCCAGAAACAATGTTGGAACAGATCCTCCTGGATGACATGCTTGATCACATGAGGAATGAGCGTGTGATCCGAGACAGCCAGCACAGCTTCACCAGGGGAAGGTCACGCTTGACCAATCTAGTGGCCTTCTATGATGGAGTGATAGCATTGGTGGACAAGGGAAAGGCGACCAATGTCATTTACCTGGACTTGAGCAAGGCCTTTGACATGGTCCCCCACCACATCCTTATCTCCAAATTGAAGGAACGTGGGTTTGATGGGTGGACCACTTGATGGATAAGAAACTGGTTGAAAGGCTGCAGACAGAGGGTGGTCATCAATGGCTCTATGTCCAGGTGGAGGCTGGTAACGAGCGGCATCTCCCAGGGGTCTGCCTTGGGACCAGTGCTCTTTAACATCTTTATCAGTGACCACAATAAGGAATCAAGTGCACCCTCAGCAAGTTTGCTGACTACACCAAGCTGAGTGGTGCGGTTGACACGGTAGAAGGAAGGGATGCCATTCAGAGGGACCTCCACAGGCTGGGTGAACCTGATGAGGTTCAACACGGGAAAGTGCAAAGTTTTGCACTTGGGCCGGAGGAATCCCAGGCATATATACAGACTGGAAGGAGCAGTCCTTGAGAGCAGCCCTGTGGAGAAGGACCTGGGGGGGTCTTGATAGATAAATAACATGAGCCAGCAGTGCACCCTTGCAACTCGGAAAGCAAACGAGATTCTGGGCTCCATCAGAAGAAGGGTGGCCAGCAGGGACAGGGAGGTGACTGTCTCCCTCTACTCTGCTCTTGTGAGGCCACATCTGCAGTATCGTGTCCAAGTGTGGGGCCCCCAGTACAAGAAAGACAGAGAGCTGTTGGAGAGGGTCCAGAGGAGGGCCACAAAGATGATCAAGGAAATGGAGCACCTCTCCTACGAAGACAGGCTGGGGGAGCTGGGCTTGTTCAGCCTGGAGAAAAGAATCACAGAATCACAAGGTTGGAAACGACCTGCAAGATCATCTAGTCCAACCACCCTCCCTTTCCTATTAATACCACAAGCTACCATATCTCGTAGCTCCTCATCCAGGCGCCTCTTGAACACTGCCAGGGACGGCAACTCCACCACCTCCCTGGGCAGACCATTCCAGTGCCTGACCACCCTCTGAGAGAAAAAGTTTCTCCTAATGTCCAACCTAAATCTCCTCTGGTATAACTTCTGGCCGTCCCAGCTCCCTCAGCCACTCCTCATCAGACTTGTGCTCCAGACCCCTCACCAATTTCATTGCCCTTCTCTGGACACATTCCAGGGCCTCAATGTCTTTCTTGTAGTGAGGGGCCCAAAGAAGGCTGCAGGGGGACCTCATTGCAGTCTTTCAATACCTAAAGGGAGCCTACGAACAGGAGGGGAGTCAACTCTTTGAAAGGGTTGATGACAGCAGGACAAGGGGAAATGTTTTTAAGTTGAGGGAGGGGAGATTCAGGTTGGATATTGGGGGAAGTTCTTTACAGAGAGACTGGTGAGGTGCTAGAACAGCTGCCCAGAGAGGTTGTAGATGCCCTGTCCATCCCTGGAGGTGTTCAAGGCCAGGTTGGATAGGGCCCTGAGCAGCCTGATCTAGTACTAAATGGGGAGGTTGGTGGCCTTGCATGTGGCAGGGGGTTGGAGATTGATGATCCTTGAGGTCCCTTCCAACCCTGGCCATTCTGTGATTCTATGAATGTTCATCCTTTTCTTATTGTAAGGATAAAAGACAGTTGATGCAGTTGTCTTTAACCACTTTCAGATCACCCAAGAAAGACAGAGATCATAATTCAGTAATAAAGAAGAAATAGCTTACTGATGCTTACAATAGCTTTCTGAGGATCCAGGCTCTCTGAAACTTTTTAAGGAGTCTGTTTTAAAGTACAGATCCTCCTCTTGTGGCTGCCAGCCCTTAAATGAGATCACAGAATCTTAGAATCACAAGGTTGGAAACAACCTACAAGATCATCTAGTCCAATCGTCTCCTCATCACCAGTGCCACCACTGGCACTAAACCATATCACGCAGCATGTCATCCAGACGCCTATTCAACACTGCCAGGGACAGCGACTCCACCACCTCTGTGGGCAGGCCATTCCAGTGCCTGACCACTCTCTGAGAGAAGTTCTTCCTTACGTCTAATCTAAACCTTCTCTGATACAACTTGCAGCCATTACCCCGTGTCTTGCTCATTGCCTGGGAGAAGAGGCCAAATCCCTCTTCACCACAACCTCCCTTCAGGAGGTTGTAGAGTGCAATGAGGTCTCCCCTGAGCCTCCTCTTCTCCAGACTGAACAATCCCAGCTCCCTCAGCCGCTCCTCATAAGACTTGTGCTCCAGACCCCTCACCAGTTTCATTGCCCTTCTCTGGACACGCTCCAGGACCTCAACATCTTTCCTGTAGTGAAAAGCCCAAAACTGAACACAGTACTCGAGGTGCGGCCTCACCAGTGCTGAGTACAGGGAGATGATCACACCTCCCTGCTCCCGCTGGCCACACTATTTCTAATGCAGGCCAGGATGCCATTGGCCCTCTTGGCCACCTGGGCACACTGTTGGTTGATGCTCAGCTGAACATGAGCCAACACCCCCAGGTCCTTGTCTTCTTCACAGTCATCCAGCTACTCATCCCCAAGCCTATAACGCTGCATGGGGTTGTTGTGGCCAAAGTGCAGGACCCGACACTTGGCTTTGTTGAACCTCATCCCATTCACCTCAGCCCAGTGGTCCAGCCTGTCTAAATCCCTCTGAAGGGCCTCCCTACCCTCAGGCAGTTCAACACCACCTCCCAGCTTGGTGTCATCTGCAAACTTACTGAGGGTGCACTCAATCCCCTCATTTAGGTCATCAATAAAGATATTAAACAAGATCGGCCCCAGTACCGACTCCTGGGGGACACCACTTGAAACTGGTCGCCAGCTGGACTTCACTCCATTCACCATGACCTGCTGGGCACAGCCCTGTAGCCAGTTCCTTACCCAAACAAGTGTATATCTGTTCAGACCACGGGCAGCCAGTTTCCCCAGAAGAAGCCTGTGAGGGACCGTGTCAAAGGCTTTGCTGAAATCTAGGAAGACTACATCAACAGCCCTTCCCTCATCTACCAGTCTGGTCACCCAGTCATAGAAGGAGATGAGGTTGGTCAAGCACGACCTGCCTTTCACGAACCCGTGCTGGCTGGGCCTGATCCCCTGGACACTGCGTACATACTGTGCAATCTCATCCAAGATGATTTGCTCCATAACCTTCCCTGGTACTGAGGTCAGGCTAACAGGCCTATAGTTCCCCGGATTCTCCTTATGGCCCTTCTTGAAGATGGGAGTCACCATCAGCAAGCCTCCAATCCTCTGGGACCTCACCATTTAACCAGGAGCGTTGATAGACGGCCGAGAGGGGCTCAGCAATCACCCCCGCCAGCTCCCTCAGCACCCAAGGGTGCAGCCCATCCAGTCCCATGGACTTGTGACAGTCCAGACGGAGGAGGAGCTCTCTGACTGTCTCCACCAGAATTGCATGTTCTGTGCAGTGTCCCAGACATCCAGATCGGGGCATAAAAAGCCCAGAGGATAACTGATCTGGCTGTTACAGGCAGATGTAAAGAAGGCATTGACGACCTCAGCAACCACATTCCCTGATGCATCAAGTAGATGATGAGAATTATCTTTGGTTCTTCTTTTACCGTTGATATATTTATAAAAGGATTTTTTATTGTCTTTTACTGCAGAGGCCAACCTGAGCTCAAGTTGGGCTTTCACCTTCCTAACTTCCTCCCTGCATACCTTAGCTACTTCTTTGTAATCTCCCCAAGCAGCCTGTCCCTTCTTCCAGAGGATGTAGACTCTCTTTTTCTCCTTGAGTCTCAACAGTAACTCCCGGCTCATCCACACCGGTCATCTTCCCCTACAGCTCGCCTTACGGCACACAGGGACAGCCTGTTCTTGTGCCTTTAAGATATCAGCCTTGAGGAGCATCCAGGCTTCCTGGGCCCTTTTACCCTTGAGAAGCGACTCCCAAAGGACCCACACTACAAGCTCCCTGAACAGATCAAAGTCTGCCCTCTGGAAGTTCAAGAAGGTAGTTCTGCTGGCCACTCTTTTGACATCCTCAAGAACGGAGAATTCTAGAATTCTGTGGTCACTCTGCCCAAGACGGTCCCCAACCTTCACTTCTCCCACCAGTCCTTCTCTGTTAGCAGAGCTCTGGTAGGCTCTCCCACCAGTTGCGTAAGGAAGCCATCTTCCACACAGTCTAGAAACCACCTGGGCTGCTTCTTCTGCACTATATTTCCAACATATATCAGGGAAGTTGAAGTCTCCCATCAGAACAAGTGCTGGCGATCGCGTGACTTCTGCGAGCTGCTCATAGAATGCCTCATCCAACTCTTTGTCCTGATTAGGAGGTCCATAACAGACCCCCACCAAGACACCGCCCCTACAGGCCTTCCCCCTAATCCTTACCCATAGACACTTCACTGTGTCATTCCCAACCCCAAGCTCTTCTACCTCAAAACAGTCTTTAATATAAAGGGCCACACCACCACCCTTCTTTCCTTGTCTATCCCTTCTGAAGAGCTTGTAGCCATCTATCTCAGCACTCCAGTCATGGGAGTGGCCCCACCACGTTTCACAAATAGCAACAAGGTCATAATTAGCCTGACTCACAATCATTTCCAACTCTTCTGCTTGAGCTTGTTGCTCATGCTGCATGCATTGGTACAGACACATTTCAGACGAGTCATCTGCCTCATCTCCTGCTGGAGCATCTTTCCCCTAGGCTCATCTCTTGAGAGGCCCGTTTTGCCCCCTTCCCCCTTCATAGCTAGTTTAAAGCTCTTTCCATAAGCCCCGCTAGTTCCTGCGCCAGTATTCGCTGCCCCTGTCACAGAGTTGACTAGATCAATCTATGTCTGTGACAGGGGCGACAGGCCTCTGCCCCCCCCCCCCCCCCACCCCAGTCCCACAAAAAATGGGAAGGAAGGAAGGGAGGAAAAAAAAGCAGCAGCAACAATGTATGGAGGAAAACTTATTTTACTTCAATATTGGAATACAAAATAACACAATATATACAATTTAGTTGAAATTGAGATTAATAAATCAGACGAGATGAGAGAGAGAGAGTTCCCGGGACCGATTCAAACCTGAAAAGCTTGGAACGGCTAGGAAAGCACCCTCCAGCACCCACTGC